GGGCGACTTCCCGTGGCTCCAATTGCCAGCCAAAAGGGCCCCCAGACTGGTGTATTTTGTACAGAGAACCGCTGCTCCAGGGCGCCAACAAAGCAGCCACACGGGGCAAAGCAGCGGCGCCGGCGGGCACAGCCATGCTGGCCAAAACAGCCGCGCTGGCGACCCATGGAGCTCCTCCGCCTGGGAATTGCCTAGTCTGTGGGTAATAAAAATGTGGCGTCCACTCACCCTCTGCACTTTCACTGGGAGCTGCAATCCTAAGCTGTTCCTAAACGGCCATCTTGGATCATAACCCCTCATTTTCTTTCAGTAAAATTTATCAGCAAACATTAGACTGCAAACTCTTAGATTACATTTGTTCTATTTTACTTCAATTATATTACCCTTTCCCATTTGCCCTGGTCTCTCAAGATGTATCCATTTTTTTCATGCTTACACACTTGTTTTATCTAAACCCAGCTGCATTAGTGCTCCTATTTTTATAAGCCTCTTTCCTATTGCTTGAATCCTTACTCTGCGTATACGCAGGCCCCAAATATTTTAACTGAGAATTTAAAATGCAAAAATAATGTCCTTATTATAAGGAAACTACTACTGAAGACCAAAGATTTGTCTCACAAACAAGTAGTTTGCACTGATCCATCAGGGATTTTGTTTTGTATTAAAATCCCTTTAACTGATGATGTGCATTTGTGAGAGGGCTGAGAATGCTTAGGCATGTAGTTTGTAACCTGGACAATTAGCAAAGTTTTATAGAACCATGCCGTCTGGAGCATAAACTTAGAGTAAATTTTTTTCAGCACTCTTCTGCAACCCACTAAACTGAATCTCAAGGCTAGTAAATATGTTAATTAATGTTTTAAGTTTTCACACCCTGGTATAGTTTGATATTTATCCCTGCCCAAATCTCATGTTGAATCGTAATCCCCAGTGCTGGAGGTGGATACTGATGTAATGTGTCTGGGTTATGGGGACTGACCTTTCATGGCTTAGCACTGTCTTTGCAAGAGTGAGTTCTTGCAAGATTGGTCATTTAAAAGTGTGTGGCACCTACCGTCCCAACACACACACAATCTTTTTCTCCTGCCTTCACCATGTGATGTGCCCGCTCTTACTTTGTTTTCAGTCATGATTGGAAGCTTCCTCAGGCCTCACCAGAAACAGATGCACTAATATATATATTCATATATATATAAATGTATAAGGTTGTTAATATATATTAATATATATAAGGTAATTTAATACATATAAGGTAATATATACTATCTTATATATATATCATATATATATAATATATATCTATATATATATATCATATATATATAATATATATCTATATATATATTATATATATTGATATATATATATTATATATATCAATATATATAATATATACATATATAACCTGCTCTCAGGAATTTCTTTATAGCAGTGGAATAATGACATAACACAGAAAATTGGTACCAAGGAGTGGGGCAGTAACTGAAAATATTTTTCTGTTAACCAGCACCTTTGGAACTGGTTAACAGATAGAGGCTGGAAGAGTTTGGAGGCTCAGAAGAAGACAGGGAGATTAAGGAGAGTTTGGAACTTCTTAGAGATTGGATAAATGGTTGTGACCAAAAGGCTGATGGACAATGGTGATATGAACAATGAAGTGGAGGCTGATAAGGTCTCAGATGGAAATGAGGAATTTATTGGGAACTAGAGCAAAGGTCACTTTTGTTATGCCTTAGCAAAAAACTTGGCTGCATTGTGCCCATGCCCTAGAGTTCTGTGGAGTTTGATCATGTGAATGATGACCTAGGATAGCTGACAAAAAAATTTCTCATAAATTAAGCATTCAAGATATGACCTGGCTGCTTCTAATAGCCTGTTCTCAGATGCAGGAGGAAAGAAATGACTTACATTTGGAATTTATATTTAAAAGGGAAGCAGAGCATAAAGTCTGGAAAATTGGCTGGGCATAGTGGCTCACACCTGTAATCCCAGCACTTTAGGAGGCCGAATTGGGTGGGGCACCTGATGGCAGAAGTTTGAGACCAGTCTGTCCAATATGGTGAAACCGCATCTCTGCTAAAAATACAAAAATTAGCTGGCTGTGGTGGCACATGCCTGTAGTCCCAGCTTCTTCGTAGGCTGAGGCATGGGAATGACTTAAACCCAAGAGACAGAGGTTGCAGTGAGCCAAGATCATGCCACTGAACTCCAGCCTGGGCGACAAAGTGAGACTCCATCTCAAAGAAAAAGAAAAATCAGCCATATGGCAAAGAAAGAAAAAGTTTTGGGTTTTTGTTTTTGTTTTTTGTTTGTTTGTTTGTTGAGAGAAATTCAAGAAGGCTGTGGAACTATCGCTTGTTAGAGAAACTTGCAAAACTGAATTCAGCCATATGGCAAAGAAAGAAAAATTTTTGTTTTTTGTTTTTGTTTGTTGTTTGTTTGTTTGTTGAGAGAAATTTAAGAAGGCTGTGGAACTATCACTTGTTAGAGAAACTTGCAAAACTGAAAGAGAGCTAAGTGCTAATATTCAAGACAATGGAGAAAAGGCTTTTTCTCCCTTCCTCTCACTGCAATCTGTTTTATTTCAGTTCCAGAGGATTAGGAGGAAAGAATGGTTTCATGGGCTCTGCAGCCTCAGAACTCCACTGCTCACATCCCCATGGCTCCTTTTCCCTCTTCCAGCTATGGCTCAAAGGGGCCCAGTTATAGCATGGGCTGCAAGCTATAGCCTTGGTGGTTTCCATGTGGTATTAAGCGTATAGGCACACAGAATCCAAGAATAAATGAGGCTTCTCAGCCTCTGTCTAGATTTCAGAGGAAGTATGGAAAAACCTGTATGCCCAGGCAGAAGCCTGCTGCAGGAGTGGAGTCCTTACAGAGAACTTTTACCATGGCATGCAGGGGGGACATGTAAGGTTGAAGGTCCCACACAGAGTCCCCACTGGGGCATTTCTTAGTGGAGCTGTTGGAAGTGATTTTGAATTCTGCAGACCCCAGAATGGTAGATCCGCCAGCATCCTGCAACCTCAGAGTGGAAAAGCCTCAGGCACTCAGCATCCTCCAAGAGCATCCACCAGGGCTACATCCTGCAAAAACACAGGGGTGGGGCTGCCCAAGGCCTTGAGAGCTCACCCCTCCCATCATTATGCCCTATATGTGGGACATAGAGTCTAAGGAAATTATTTTAGAGCTTTAAGATTTAATGACTGCACTTCTGGATTTCGGACTTGCATGAGGCCTGTAGCCCCTTCCATCAGGCCAATTTCTCCCTTTTCAAACATGAATGTTTGCCCAATGCCTGTACTCCCATTGTCTCTTGGAGGTAACTATTTTGTTTTTGATCATATTTTGTGGTGTGAGAAGGATGAGTTAACACCGGAATGTGTTAAGAATTTGGGAGATTCTTGGGAAGGCATGATTGTATTATACAATGAAAGAAGGACATGAGATTTGGGAGAAGCCAGAGGCAGAATGATATAGTTTGGATATTTGTTCCCCTGTCAAATCTCAGGTTGAATTATAATCCGCAATGCTGGAAGAGGGGGCCTGGTGGGAGATGTTTGGGTCAGGGGGATGGATCTCTCATGGTTTAGTGCTGTCTTCATGACAGTGAGTGAGTTCTCATGCTACTTGGTCATTTAAAATTGTGTGGCAACTGCCCCCAACTCTCTCTTGCCCCTGCTATCTCCATGTGATGTGCCTGCTCCCACTTTGCCTTCTGCCATGATTGGAAGCTTCTTGAGGCTTCCTTAGAAGCAGATGCCACTATGTTTTCTGTAAAACCTGCAGTACTGAGAGACAATTAAATGTCTTTTCTAATAAATTACCCAGTCTCAGGTAATTATAGCAGTGCAAGAGTGACCTAACACACACCAAAATTCTTAGTTTATCATGGTCTAAAACTTCTTTAATCTTCTTTACTCTTGCTTTTTTGGAAGAAATGATAGTCTCTTCCAGCTCCGAAATTTTATTTTTAATCTGGGTTCTCATCATTATATTAGCATATACTTGGTAGTCTTCATTCATATATAAATTATTGCCTGGGAAAAAATTAAGTGAACAGACTATAAAATAACATTAACTAAACTCAGTTAATTATCTATAGAATTATCTGCCACAAATCTTACTCTTAGTTACAAGCTTCCTTTACTTGAGTCATTTATAACCACAGAGTGCAAGAAAGGAATATTTAAACTAAAAAAAATACCACTGTCCTGTTCAAGGAAGGAAAAGCCATCCTAAAAATAAAACAATAAAGAAGCAGACACAGGCAACTCAGTTAAGGCATGTTATTTGCCCCAGTCTGGCTACCAATATTATCTATCTTCAACAAAGGGCACAGCAGAGAAGAGAAAGAAAGACCAGCCTGGCCAATATGATGAAACCCTGTCTCTACAAGAGAATACCAAAATTAGCCAGACATAGTGGCACTCCTGTAGTCCTAGCTACTCAGGAGACTTAAGATAGGAGAATCACTGGAACCTGGGAGTCGCAGGTTGCAGTGAGCCGAGATCGCATCACTGCACTCCAGCCTGGGTAACAGGGAGAGACTCTATCTGAAAAAAAAAAAGAAAGAAAGAAAAAAAAGAAAAGAATGTATGTATATTTAGATTTCTCTGTAAGTCCTTACCTAGGATTTTTGGAAAATAGGTTATCCTGTCTTCTTTTGTCACAAAACGTTCAAGATAAATGACAAAGAAGTAATTAAAACGGTCAAGATAAATGACAAAGAAGTAATTATGTTAGATTTTGCTCTGACTTTTGGAGTAAGTTAGATTAGATTGATGTATAGAAATGTAAAAAAGTGATGCATGCCAACAAATTTTTTTTATTTGACTTTATTTCTTTTAAAAATATTGCTAATATTAAATTAAGTGATAATTGAAGACATTACTTAAATCAAAAGTAGAAATCACAAGAAAATAGCTACATTATAATCAAACTACAGGAAAAGTGATTTAGACATTTGTTTTTAATATTTGCTACACCTTCATTTTCAGGCTGTTGGCAGAAATTCATTTCAGAATATAAGAAAGCCTGATATTACAAGGGTGGAGCTCTTAAAAGATGTGCAAAGCAAAAGTGATCTTATTGTTCGATTAGTGGCTCATGATATTGATCAAGTGGATTTGGAAAATTACATAAAAGAAGAACTTGATTCTGATGAAGATGAAGTTGTTTTAAGAGAGACTGTGGCAGAAGAAAAAGGCGTTGAAGTATTTAAAGATCAAGTAAAAGAAGTCAAGAAGCTAGAAGAAAACAAAGTTTCTCCTAAGTCAACACTAAGCACTAGCAGCCTGAAAAAGCTTTTGTCACTAAGTAAATGTTGTCAGACCACAGCCAGTGCAAATATTGAAAATATTGAAGCAACCTCAAATCAGGTAACAGAATCGAAGGAGACACATGTTAAAAGAGCTGTTGCTGAGCTTGACATGGCCATAAAAAAAGCCATGCCTGAAACAGCCTCTTCATCTTGGGAAGAAAAGCCACTGTGTAAGGTAAGTGAGAAGCATGACAGTTAGTGACAAGAAAGGAGAGACAGCTTTACAAATATGGCCCAATAATGTATCTTGGTTAGTCAGAAAAGAATGAATTGAGTCTCAAGCCTGGTGATATTTACAGAATAAGGGAAATAATTACCAGGCACAGCTGTGAATCTCAACTGTAGGAAAGCAGATAATAGGGGAAAAACTAGAGTAATTAGAATCTCAAAGAAAAGAGAAAATGAAACTGTTAAGAAAAATGTAAATTAATTATTAAAAACAATTGCTTTCCACCCTTTTGTATTTTTGCTGGTAAGTACTCATTGAACATTTTGTGTGTTGAGCCTAATGCCACTAGAACAGCAGCAGAAGATTGGCTCTGAGTAGGAGGAAGAAAAAAAGATCCACAGAGATTCAGACTGCTTAGGTTTGAATCCTGACTCTTAGTAGCTAGGTGATCTCTTGGTAAGCTATATAACCAACTTACCCAATCCTTAACTAGATAATTTATATATTTTAAATACCACCCTTACAATTAGCCCATAATCTCTGCTATCAGCATGGTTAACATCTCTTGTTGCTGGCTCTAAACCCTCAAATGATGTTCTGGGTCTCAAAGACCTTTTGAGTTTGGTCCTGTCCAAAAATCTATATCATAACATGTTTTTGGAGAATATATTATTTTTAATATTCTGATGAGGCCATTCTCTTGATTATCCATTTTATGTGATTCTAAGGTAAAACAAAACTTAGATGAACTACAGAAAATAACAGAAATATAAGTCTGCTCAATTCAGAAGTACACATGACTTTGCAACAAATGATCAAAATATGTGTTAAGATGATTAATCTTGCAAGATACCTAATTGATCAGAGTTGTATCTGTGTTCTTCCTCTTTTTGAACGCTATAATATATGATTTTAAATGTTTTTAAAGTTTAGAGGTAGATTTCAACATTGTTCTAGATTTATGTTTAAAATTTCTTCAAATCCAGTATCATAATTTGAGTAATCTTCACTGAACTATTTCTAATTAATTACATTCAAAGATACCTTTTAATTATAATTATAGGGTTCATCCATCTTTTAAGTAATTTCTAAAAGTTTGTTCTGTTAAAATGTAGATTATATGGCAAAAAAATGCCATAAGGTAAGAAAGTATATCTCAAACTCCATTTAGACCAATAGCTGATTTGTCCTTTTCCAGAAAGAAGAGAAGAATCTTCTTACTGAACCACCACATTACTTCATACACAGAATTATGAGTTCATCTTCATACAACCAAGAAGATCTCATTTCATCTACTGGGTACGTGAAATTAAAGCAGTCCAAATATAGAAATCTGATAAACTAGAGCTTATGGGTAGAATGGGACCCCTGGCAAAACTGTAACTGATCAAGTATTTAGCTTCAGACCTTCCCTCACTTCTTCCTTTCATTGGAACCCTACTGTGGATAATTCCAAAGCCACGTCTTGCTATTCGCTCATCCATTTTTAGATACTTGGCCTATATGTTCCAGTTTTGAAACCAGTTTCTAGTGTATCTTCTTTGTAGTCTTATTAAAGTGTTTGTTAATGTATTAGGTTATTTTCTAACATGAGAGAGAGGTAATGGCCCAGAAATGGAGTAAGTAGTATCAGTACAAAAGAGGCCATGCTTAGCTCTCTTCACAAAGCTAGTGTTCATTGCCTATAAGAAGAATCCCCAAAGGAATGAGCAAGAAATGTAAGTTGGAGCATTCAGAGATAAATCATAGAAAGCAATGGAGTTTGATGTGACTCTTTAAGAATGGATAGTACTTATGCAAGTGAAAGACAATTCAAGTGTGGATGACACCAGCAGCAAAATATGGACCTTAACAGTTATAGGGGACAAGGAGGAACAAAGTACCCTCCTTGTAATCTGATTAATAACTCTATCAAGAATAGTGAAAATATCTAAAATTGTGCTTAAATTTATAAAATTATACATAACTTAGAAAAGATATCATTGTTTATCTGGTGAGAAGTACTGATGATATACACAGAAAAATCTACCTAGTGATTTATTTTTTTCACTCAGCATGCTGGAATTGTATTTGCTGTTTTTTTGGGGGTTTTTTTTGACATAACCCTATTTTGGCTCACCGTTGTCTCTTTCCTCCTGCATAACATGTTATTGTAACATACATAACTAGTAATGTTGGGACCTCTCTATTGGTTGTATCAGCGAAGTAAAAAGCAGGTATAAATAATATTAAATAAAAATAATTTTAAAGCAAGATAATACCAGGAAGCTCAAGGTTCTGATTTTCCCATGAAAACAAAATATAAGCAACTACAAACTGACTAACACAACTTCATAACACCTCTGGAAAACAGTCTGCAGCAACCAAATAAATACTGAATCAAGAAAAAGCTGGCTGGGCATTGTGCATCATGCTTGTAATTCCACCTCTTTGGGAGGCCAAGGCATGAGGATTGCTTGAGGCAAGGAGTTTGAACTTAGCTTGGGCAACATAGCGAGACCCTAATTCTAATAAAATTAAGTAATTCAAAATTAGCTGGAATGGTCATGTGCACCTAGTGCTAGCTACCCAGGAGGCTGAGGTGACAGAATTGCTTGAGCTCAGGAGTTTGAAGTTACAGTGAGCTATTATTTTACACTGCACTTTAGCCCAGACAACAGAGTGATACTCAGAGAGAGAGAGAGAGAGAGAGAAAAGAGAGAAAGAAAAAGAGAAAGAGGAAGGAAGGAAAGAAAAGAAAGGAGGTGAAAGAGGAAGTAAGAAAAGAGAGAGAAAAAAAGTATGAGAGAAAGAGAAAGGAAGGAGGAAAGAAAAAAGTAAAGGAAGGGAAGGAAGGGAGGGAGAGAGGTGTGAAGAAAGGGAAGGAGGAAGAAAGAGAGAAAGGGAAAAACACATTCAAAATTAAAAAAAAAAATGTGTAGTTTAGCTTGTTCTTAGACTCGGCTTCCTCCCAGCATGGTATAATAACACAGTCAAGAGAAAGGAGCCCAATTTACAGTGTCCTCCCTTTGGTCGAAAAAGCAGAATAGATCCTGTTCTGACCTATCCACGGGCTTTCTTAGGAAATTATTTTTGTTTCACCTGGCTAGGAACTCAAATAGGCAATGGTGTCATCATTTGGTTTTAAGCCTGAAAACTACAGAAAGCAGTGGATAGCTGCCACAATGCATGAAAACTACAGGGGGTCTGCAGAACCATAAACATCTTGGGCAAGAAATTATGAGAAGAGAGAGACGCTGTAGAACATCTAAGTTCCTGAGAAGGAGCAAGAAGTGACACTTTGTGAAATTAAATCATTTAAAAGCAGCTCGAAAAAATGGGTTTGGGGAAGCACAAACATAGGCTTGAAAGCTGCATGCACAGCAAAGATCTGAAAAAGTCTAAGTCTTCACTTTGGACTGTTTCCAAGGCTTAAAGTCCCACTAATTACTAAAGATTTTCCACATCAATCTGCAAACACTAGAAGAAGTGGCTTCTTTTTTATTTCAAATACTCATATTTAACAAAAGATCACTATGCACACAAAAATAGGGAAGTTTAGCTCATTTGAAAGAATAAAATACCCAGAAAATGTTTCTGAAGAAGCGTATCAGTTGGACCTACATGGCAAAGACTTTAAGACAACCATCTTAAATATGTTCAAGAAAGTAGGTAGACAAAGAACTAAGGAAATTAGGAAAAATATATATGAACAAAATTAAAATATTAAGAGAATTTATAAAAAAGAACTGAACAGAAATTCTGGTTTTGGTAGCACGTTAGGGCAAATAGAGTTAATAATAATTTATTATATATTCTAAAATAACTAAAAGAGTGGGATTGGACTATTCTTAACACATAACACAAGACACAATATATGCTTGAGGTAATGGATACACCAATTACCCTGACTTGATCATTGCACATTGTATACCTGTATTAAAACATCACATGTACCCCATAAACATGTACAAGTATTGTATGCTAATAAAAATTAAAAATTTATTCTGAAGCAGAAAAATATAATAACTGAATTATAAAAATTATTAGAGAAGTTCAACAGCAAACTTGGACAGACAGAAGAAACAATCAGTGAACTTGAATGCAAGTCATTTTAATTTGTCAAGTCTAAAGACCAAAAGGAGAAAATACTGGAAAAAAAGTGAGCAATGCCTAAGGGATTTTGAAAACACCATCAAGCAGAACAATATACACATTATGTAGATTCCAGAAGAAGAGTTTGAGAAAGAAACAGAGAGATTATTTTAGGAAAAAGAAATTGCTGAAACTTACTAAATTTGAAGAATTATATATATACACAAATTCTAGAAGCTTAACAAACTTCAAGCAGAACAAACACAAAAATACCACATCAAGACACATATTAAACATTCAAAATACAAAGAGAATCTTTAAAGTAGAAAAAGGAAAGTGATACATCATGTATAAATAACCCTCATAATATTATTAGTGGTTTTCTCATTAGTTATAATCCAAGAGGCAGTTGGATGATATATTTAAAGAATCAAAGAAAAAAAAATACAGTCAAACAAGAATTCTACAACCAGAAAAAAATGTTCTTCAAATATGAGGAGAAATTAAGATATTCCAAGACAAGAAAAAGAGCTGAGGGAATACATTAACACTAGACCTACCTGAAAAGAAATACCAAAGAAAGTTCTTCAAGTTAAAAAGAAAAATGAAATAATATTAAACAGTATCTCAGACACATATGAGACTACATAATTTTTAACAAATGTAAATACATGAATAAATATAAAAACAGTATTATAATTTAGCTCATATATCCACTTTTTAATTTCTAAGGGATTTAAAAGACAAATGCATAAAACAGATTATAAATTTATGCAAATAGGTACAGCATATGAAAAGATATAATTTGGGACCTCAATAAAATAAACTGATTATGGAGTAAATGTGTTAAAGAGTAGAGTTTTTGTATGCAATTAAGTTAACTTGGTATCAATTAAAAAATAGAATATTAACTTTAGGATGTTATACATAATCCTTGTAGTAACCACAAAGAAAATATCCATAAAATATACATAAAAAGAAATTAGAACTGAATCAAAATGTGTCACTAAAAAGCTCAAGTAAATTCAAAGGAAGGCAGTAATGGAAAAAAATGAAGGACAAACTGTAAGATGCAAAAAACAACAAAATGGCAAAAGAATGTCTTTCTCTATTCTAATTACTTGAAGTATAACTGGGTTAAACACTTTAATCAAAAGATATAGAATGACAAACAGATTTTAAAAACAGAATCCAACTGTATATTATTCACAAGATATTCACTTTAGATCTAAGAATACATGTAGGTTGAATGTGAAAGAATGGGAAAATATACACCATTGCAAATAGAAACCAAAAGAGAGAGAAAAAAATAGGACATTATATGATGATAATAGCATCAATTCACCAGGAAGAGGTAATTAAAAACATATATAAATGGTCTCCAGCTTAATGATAATTCGACTTACAATTTTTTAACTTTATGACAATGTGAAAGCAATACACATTCATATATTATACAATATTTTTAATAATTTGTGTTAGATGATTTTGCTAAACTGCAGGCTAATGTATGTGTTCTGAGCATATCCAAGGTAGGCTAGGATAAGCTATGATGTTTGGTAGGTTGGATGTGTTCGATGAATTTTCAATGTATGATATTTTTCATTTAAAATGGGTTTGTTGAGAAGTAACCCCATTGTAAGTTAAGGAGCATCTGTATGCATCAACATCACAGCTCCAAAATATATAAAATAAATACTAACAGAATTGAACAGGAAATAAACAGCTCTACAATAATAGTAAAGGACTTTAATAGGCCATTTTCAATCATGGAGAGACAACAAAATAAGAAAATAGAGGATGTTGATATAGTTTGGCTGTGTCCCCATCCAAATCTCATCTTGAATTGTTGTTCCCATAATTCCCACATGTCATGGGAGGGACCAGGCTGAAGGTAATTGAACCATGGGGGTAATTACCCCCATGCTGCTTTTCTCATGGTGATGAATGAGTTCTCATGAGATCTGATGGTTTTATAAGAGGCTTTTACCCCTTTTCCTTGGCACTTCTCCTTCCTGCCACCAGGTGAAGAAGGATGTGTTTGCTTCCCCTTTCACCATGATTGTAAGTTGCCTAAGGCCTCTCCAGCCATGCAAAACTGTGAGTCAATTAAAACTCTTTCCTTTATAAATTATCCACTATCAGGCAGACCTTTATAGCAGAATGAGAACAGACTAATATAGATGTGAATAACACTATAGATTCATTGAATCTATCAGATATATTTATATAAAACAATAACAAAACACACCATTTACTCAAATGTACATAGCACACATAGATAAACTGTATCTTAGGCCCCAAAATGAGTCGTTATAAATTTTAAAAAGTTTGAATTTATAAAAAATATATTTTTAAATTACAAGGAGACAAAACTAGAAGTCAATAGCAGAAGAAAGCCAAAACAGCTTAAAATATGTGAAAATTAAACAATATACTATCTACTAATTGGTCAAAAAAGGAATGATAAGGAAACTTACCAAACTTAAGGAAGACAACAAAAGCAATGTTAAGAGGAAAATTTATAGTTGTGAATTCTTCATTAATAAATAAGAAAGATCTTATACCAACAACCTAAATTTACACCTTAAGAAACTAAAAAAAGAACAAACTAAAAGGTACTAATGAAAGAAAATAATAAAGATTAGAGCAGCAATAAAATAAAGAATAAAAACACAGTAGAGAAAATCAATAAAACCAAGAGTTGGTTCATTAAAAAATAATCAACAAAATTGACAAGTCTTTAGCTAGATTGCCTAAGGAAAGAAAGACAGCCAAAATCATAAACTAAAGAGGTAAAATAGCAACTGAGTTTACAGAAATAAAAAGGATTATATGAGGGTACTATGAATAATTTTGTGTCCAACAAGTTGGATACTCCAGATGAAATGGATAAATTTCTAGAAATACACAACTTGTCAAGACCGAATTATGCTAAATTATATTGAACAAATTTAGAAATAGTAAAGAAATAGGAACAATAACTGAAAAACCTCCTAACAAAGAAAAGCTCATGATCAGATAGTTTCAGTCATGGATGTCACAAATTTTAGAGAATTAACACTAATCCCCCTCAGACTTTTCCAAAAAATTGAAAAGAGGAAGTACTCCCAAAGTCATGACGCCATCATTAGCTTATTACCAAGACCAAAGACTGCAAGAAAACACTACGGACCAATATTACTAATGGATATTAATACAAAAATATTCAACAATATATTAGCCAACCAAATTCAGCGTACATTAAAAGGTTTGTAGATCATGACCAAGTTAGATTAATCCCAGGAATACAAGCAGGTTTGAATATACAAAAACCAATAATAGGCCAGGCGCAGTTACTCATGCCTATAACCCCAGCACATTGAGAGGTTAAGACAGGCAGATTGCTCAAGCCTGAGAATTTGAGACCAGGCTGGGCAGCAGGGCGAAACCCCTGCTCTCCAAAAAAATATATACAAAATATAGCCAGGGGTGGTGGTGTGCACCTGTAATCCCAGCTACTAAAGAGGCTTGGCTAGGTGAATTTATTGAGCACAGGAAGTTGAAGCTGCAGTGAGCTGTGATCACACCACTTTGCTCCAACCTGGGTGACAGAATGAGACCCTATCTCAAAAAAGAAAAAAAAAAAAATCAATGTAATACATCACATTAACAGAATGAAAGGGAAACATACACATACATACATAGACACACACACACACACACACACACACACACACACACCCATTTCAAATGATGTAGGAAAACTACTTGACAAAAGTTCACACTTTTACATGGATAAAAAGACTCAGCAAACCAGAAAGAGGAGGACACTGCCTCAGCATTGTTAAGGTCAAATATGAAACATCAATAGCTAACATTGTCCTCAGGGTAAGGAAATGAAATATTTCCTCTGAGATCAGGGACAAACAAAAAACAATGACTACTTTTGCTGCTTATATTTAACATAGTACTGGAAGTGCTAGCTAGAAATATTAGGCAAGAAAAAGAGGGATAGGCATTCAAATTGGAAGAGTAGAAAAGTTATTGTTTATAGATGACATGGTCACAATGTAGAAACCTCTGAAGAATACACACAAAATACTTATTATATTTAATAAATTAATTCAGCAAAGTTGCCAGATATAAAATCAAAACAGAAAAATTAGCTGCATTCTATATACTTAAAATGAACAACCTAAAGACAAGGAGAAAAATCTATTTATATTAATAACAAGCAGAACAAAAAAGAATATATTTAACCAAGGAATTGAAAGATGTGTATTTTTTCAACTACAAAATAAGTAGAAAGATATTTCATGCTTATGGACTGGAAGATTTAATATTGTTAAAATGTTCATTCTACTCAAAGTAATCCATGGAATCAATGGAATCTTTATCAAAATACCAAGTTTTTTTTGTAGAAATAGAAAATTTATCCTAAAGTTCACTAGTGTCTCAAAGGACCTTTAATAGGAAAACAACCTTAAAATAGAACATAGATGCAGATGTTTCAATTTATGATTTCAAATCTTACTACAAAGCTATTATAAACAGTGTGATACTGACATACAGATAGACTTATAGAGCAAGAAAATGGAATAAAGAGCTGAGAAATAAATCCTTCTGTATATGATCAAATGACTTTTACCAAGAGAACTGAGACCATTTAATGGGGATAGGATGTCCTTTTCCACAAGTGGTGATGAGAAAATTAGATACTCACATGCAAAAAGCAGGCAAACAAAAAAGAAGGTGAACCCTTACCTTAAACCATATACAAAAATTAACTCAAAATGAATCAGAGATTTAAGTATAGGAACTAAAAAAACCTTTTGTCAGAAGACATGGGAGAAAAGCTTCATGACATTGGATTTAACAATGTTTGTTGTTGTTTTTGTTGTTATGATACTAAAAGCACAGGCAAGAAAATAATGGATATATTGTGCTTCATTATAATTAAAATTTTTGTGCTTCAAAGGACACCATCAACAAAGTGAAAAGTCAACACACAGAATGAGTGAAAATGTTTGCAAATCGTACATCTAGTAAATAATTAATATTCAGAATATGCAAATAATTATATGACTCAACATCAGTGTGACAACCCAATTTAAAATGTCCAAAGGACTTGAATAGAGTTGAATATAGGCAATATAATGATTTTCAATCATTTTCCTAATCATTAAAGAAATGCAAATCAAAATCACAAGACTCCACTTGCAACACATTAAGATAACTAAAGAAGGAAGTAAGAGAGGGAAGGGGGGAGAGTGAGTGAGGAAGGAGGGAAGGAGGGAAGGAAGGAAGGAAGGAAAGGGAGGAAGAGAGGGAGGTAGGGAGGGAGGGAGGGAAAAGAAAACAAGCACTGGTAAGGGTGTAAAGAATTGAAACCCTCGTACATTGATGGTGGGAATTTCAATAGTGCAGTCACTGTGGAAAACAGTATTGAGGAGTTCTCAAAAATTAAACATAGACTTACCCTATGATCAAGCAATTCTACTTTTGTGTACATATTCATAATAATTAAAAGCAGGGACTGAAACAGATATTTGTACACCATTTTTCACCATAGACAAATCCCAATGTTCACTGATAAATGAGTATATAAACAACATGCGTTATAAATATTCAATGCTATAAATATTCAGCCTTAAAGGACGTATATTATGACACACACTACCAGATGCATGAACTTTGAAGATGTTATGCTAATTGGGATAGGTCAGCACAGGTCAGCACAAAAGGACAAATACTTCATGACTCTCATATGAGTCCCTAGCATAGTCAAAATCATAGAGACAGAAAGTAGAAAAGTGGTTTCCAGGGGATGAGGAAAGAGGAAAATTAGGTTTTAATGTTTAATCGGCATAGAGTTTCAGTAGAGAAAGATGAAAAAGTTCTGGAGTTGGATGATGATAATGGTTACACAGCACTGCAAATGTACTTAATGTTACAGAACTATACACTTAAAATGGCTAAAATTGTAAATTTAATGTATGTTTAACCACAATTGTAAAAGTAGGGGGAAAAAGTCAGTCAGAAATCATTTTCATTTGATTTGGAATCTCAGTGCATAGTATACTATTTCAGGTTTCTTTCCATATGAAGAATAACTGTTCTTTTGCTTAACCAGTAAGTTCTTCATTTATTAAATATACCTAAAGTGATGTTCTTTTTTCTTTTGTTTTAGTGAGGCTGAAGATTGTCACTCAGATCCAGGTGCTAAAATATTAGAAGGTTGGATTCTTTTTTCTGAAATTAGAGTATTCAAAAAGAAATGTTTACTGCTTTGATAATTTTTTTTAGTTATCAAACTAAAAACCATTCCCTATCTAAGGTCCTCCTCTGTTTATTTCTGGCTCAATCCATTCCAATCACCCTAGCCTCCTTGCTGTTCCTCAAACATTTTACGCATTAATGACCCTTGGATTTGCTGATCCTCCTGTAGTACTCTCTCACCTGTATATGCATATCCTTACTTTCAGATCTAGCTCAAATGTCACTTTCTCAGTGAGGTCTTCTCTGATCACACTCTGAAACAGCAAATTAATTCTGATCATGGTGCAACCTATCCCAGTTCTTTGCTTTACTGCATAGCACTTTCTGTTTCTTGTGTATTTTAATTGTTTTTTGACTATCTCTCCAGAATGTAAGTCCCATAAAGGTGGAGATTTATGTCTGTTCACAGCTGTATCACCAAGAGCCTAAAACACTGCATGGTTTATAGTAGATACAGGCATTTAATGAGATAGGAGAGACTATGGGAGGAACCAAAGGTGAAGGAGGAGCACACGATTTCTTTCTTGGTTATGTGAGTTTGAGGTATCCTTTAGACATTTAAGTTGAGATGTCACATAAGCAATTGTATATTTAAGTCTGAAATTCAGTGGAAAGATCAAGGCCAGATATATGCATTCCTAATTCATGGAATATACAATAAAATCTCAAATAACTTAAATCTGAACATCTGGGCCCCACAAATATCAGGAATATTTCTCTGCCACTTCATCAAAATAACTCTATAGTTTTTCTGGGGAGTTGGATGCCCATATACCCTAGAAACTTAAAAACATGTGTTTGGAATCATGGCCCTTGTAGCAAACCCAAATGTCCTCAATCATTTAAAACAAAGTTTGTTCAATTATGTGCAATATAAACATTTTTTAGGAAGATTATCAAGCAGCAGTGAAATCTTACCAATTTTATCACATAATTTAATCACTTCTCATATTTGAGCTGATTGACATTTTACTATTATTTTTTTTAGAACCCATATTGGCCCAAAGGGTATTTTAGATAGTTATTCTTTTATCTGCATATTCCTTTTGTTGGCTTTTGATGAGTGTAGCTATATAAAATGCATAGTGTTTTCTTATATGATATCTCAGTGGCCTCTTGTGAGATGGCCAGGGAAGACAGTCTCATTCCCATATATGTATGAGAAAACCGAGTCAGAGAAGTTAGATGTTCAATGTTCACAAAGCTCTAAGTAACGAAGCAAAGATTCAAATGCAGGTTTTCTGTCTTAGCAGGTTAGCTGCTTCTCTAGCAGTGGGTTCTTGTGAAGCTTCTCTCAGTGTCATTTCTATCTCCTTGACTGAATTTCTTTCACTAATATATTGATCTACTCAGGCAACTTTTGGTTCTGTAGATTCCACCAAATTTCCTCCAGGCATTGCCTCTAAGATCTCCTGATTGTCCCAAAAGTTACTATTTAATAATATCAGTACTCTCCTCTTTATTCTAATGAGCTGCTTTTAAGTATGTACAGAAAGTGGTAGAGCTGGAAGCGCTGTTAAGAATAGTCTATAATCTCTCATTTTACAGGTAAACAAAGAGGCTTATAGGGATTGAATGGTTGTGCATAGATACATAACTGCTAAATTATAGGGCGTGCCTCTCCCGCTATGTTACATTTCTTCTTTCTTTGTTTCTTTCTCTCTGTCTCTCTTTGTTTCTTTCTTTCTCTCTTTTCTTTCTTTCTTCTTGAGACAGATTTTTGCTCTTTTCACCCAGGCAGGAGTGCAATGGCACAATCTTGGCTCACTGCAATCTCTGTATTCTGGGTTCAAGTGATTCTCCTGCCTCAGTCTCCCAAGTAGCTGGGATTACAGGTGCCCACAACCATGCCCAGCTAATTTTTGTATTTTTTTTTTAGTAGAGACGGGGTTTAACCATGTTGGCCGCGAACTCCTGACCTCAGGTGATCCACCTACTTGGGCCTCCCAAAGTGGCGGCCCAAAGTGAAGCCACCACTCCCGGCCTCATCTTTCATAATTTCTAACTGAAGGACAAAGACATGCCCCAGCATTCTAGGGCTCTCACCTATTTCAGTGTTGTTCTCAGTACATTTAAAATAACAACTTCTTCCATCTGCCTAAATTATATGATTATTTGGTGAAAAATAGTAATATGATCAGATTTGTGTCAATGAATATATATGCCTCAGAAAGAGAGTATTTCACTTTTTTTTTTTTTAATCTCTACAGAAAGTTCTCAGGAACAAAAGTCAGAGAATAGAAGCAGTGTTGAAGTAAGTATTTTTAATTATCCTTAATTGGAATGTATTGGGACCTAGTTAAGCAAAACTCGGTTTTCACAGTTCAGTCAGACACTGTGTGTTGTGATTTGTAGGATATCAGGAAGCATTCTCCTGTTCACAATTTCTTACACCCGGTTCTCTCTCCCTAGCTGAGGCCTGTCCCTGGTATATTAAAATATCTTAACAAAATCCTTTGGGTTAAGTCAGCATTCCTTGTTTAAGTGCACAAAATAATATACTGGTTTTTCCTGGCATCTAAGTACAATCTCATTTATTAGCTCTGTTGCAACAGTCTCTAGAAAGAGCCTAGAAAACAAAAGTTTTCACAGATAATGCAATTATATAGCCGAAGTTGAGAATCAATACTTTACATTGTCTCTGCCTCATTTTATTCCTCAGGTATCTTGTTTACAATAACTTAATACATGAGCACACTTAAGTCTTCTTGGAAGAACTATGGTAAAACTCTTGTAATAATATCTGCCGCTCTTTACCTGATACAGACACTGCACATTCCTTTTATGTTTCATGTATTTAAGCCTTATTTTATTGATTTTTAACAGATGACATTTTTTCAACCACTTGTCCCAGGCTATTTTATGCCTCTCTGGGACAATTGCTGCTCCTGCACTCAAAATTGATAAGGGTCTACAGAGTAAAGCTAATATTGGAGACACAATCCCAGCACTGTCAGGTCCACAGAGTCACTTTATTGCTACAGGCTTTGCAGTGGCTAAGATTTCAATAAAATAAAATTTGGGGTTACGAAGTGATCATCATTTCTCTCCCCTTATCATTACACCTTTTTTCAGAAAAGGATTTTTAACTTTTGTCAATTCAATCAAAGGATAGAGGAGGCAGACAGGGCTGAGATTTTTCATGAGTTAATATGGTTGCACCACTGAACTTCATTTCGCGTTAGCCAAGGCCTGCATTCACAACAACGGTCAATCTTAGGCATCTTACTTCACAAAAACTATGAGCCTCAGTCTCGGTGAGCAATTATTTGAGATTGCAGAGCACAGGTATATTTTATGGAAGGTGCTGTAGTGATATATATAGGTATATCTAGTGGATTTGAGGATTTATTGGTATATCTACTGTTCAGTGTCCAATGAAAGACTCAGTTTGTATTTTGATTTACTTTGGCAGTTTATCACCATCTTTGAAAGATCCAAGGGTGTTGGCAATGCAAATTCTTCAAACATTTCAGGTACAAAATGAACTATTTTAACAACTAGTATAATTAAGCTCTCAATTGTATCATTTTGAATTTAGGATTTGTGATTACTATATTGGAAATGAGTGGCTCTCCCCTTGCATATTATGAAAATGGGATTGAAATAATATTCTTACTGTTTGTACAAATACCAATTTGCAGTTGATTATGTAGTTCTCTTTCTGTACACCAGAGGGACAATGGATAATTTAACTAAAATGTCTCAGGCACCAGCTATCCACATTTTATTTAAAGAAAAAAAATAAGAATTATTAAAGAGAAAAATGACAATAGGTTTCCAAGGTTACCCCCCAGCTAATGAGTGGCAGAGCTGTTTCAAATCCCAGTCTCATGTAGCATCATCACTGTCTACACACTCAAATGGTTGTAAGAGTAAGGTAGGTACTATGAACAACAGCAGCAGGTTGAGCAGGGGCATGAGGCTCATGGGAGATGGCATGCTGCCTTCGCAGGAGGGAGCTGCTACTCAACTACAACCACTGGCATGCTAGATTGTTCCCAGTTTTTCCAATTTTTCCAAAGAAGCTGTGTATAAAAATTTTATATGAAAGTTCATAACTTTTGAGTATCATTTACTACAATCAAGAAAATATGCAATTTTAGTGGCCCTATTACAACTTATGAAGTATCAGAAAAGTACATAAATGATTATTTCTTTGTCTATAAAATAATAATTTTGTTAAACTAAAATGATTATATTCTTTAAAGCCTCATGCTGAATAAATGGTGCAAAAAAAAAAATCCAAATAGAAACCCTCTTATTACCTACATAGTCCTATCTTACACGAGGTAAAGAACCACTTGGGGTCAGTCAATGGAAAATTTATTCAAAGTAGGTGAGAATTTATAGTATTTTTAATGTACTTCTACCTTCTCTTGAAATAGAATAGAGCTGAAAGTTATGTTCCCATTTCACTTATTAGACATTTTCAGAGACTGTTGTGCTGGGAAAAGAGAAGTGGACTTTGCATACCTGATGAAAGAAGTCTCATAGGACAGTAGGCATAATGATGCCATGAGTGTCAGAAAGCCTGGACCCTATTCCCAGCTGGATCACTGTTTACTCATATAACCTTAGGCAAGGTATTTGACATCAGCATCCAAAAATAAAGATATTCTTCTTGTTTACTTTGTCCACAGAAACTCCCAAGCCCGATGTCTCCAAACAAGGATCTAAAATGCTGGCAAAAATGTCTTCAGCTTTGTCAAAGGTGTTTTCTCGATATAATACCAATATTTCCAGATCTTCTTCACCAGCTCACCATGATGAGCACTAAAGCTTTTGTACCTGACATAAGTATGCTTACTTCTCTTAGAAAATAAAATGATTTTTAAAGCATAGTACAGTGTCTTATAAGATGATTCCTGTACTACTGAAAATAAAAGCAAAAAGTGTAAGAGGGACCAGGTAAAAGAAAGGTTTAATGTGGGTAACCCCCCATCTAAGCACCAAGGAAGGAGAGCTAAGCAGATTCCCAGCACAATTAGTGCCTGAAGCATATTTTAGTTTACAGTGTTACTACTCAGTTATTTCCTTTTATATTATCCTTTATATATAATCATATATTAGTTTATAGAATGAGTGCCTGAAGAATATCTTACTACTCAATTATTTCTATATAATATATATATATATATATATATGTGTGTGTGTGTGTGTGTGTGTGTGTGTGTGTGTGTCTGTGTGTGTGTGTGTGTGTGTGCGTATATCTTAGTTCATAGTCAGAGAACTGCCTAGGGCAAACACGGTACAGGGCATGAAGCATGAATTAAGGAATAAGCAGCTTATAGTCAGAGGAATGTCTGGAGCAGACATGGTGCAGAGCATGATTTAAGGGAAAAACAGTTATACCAGAACAAGAATCCATGGCCCAGGTGGCAGCGTCCAGTATCGTAAAGATACCCGCTATATGGCAGGCTTGGGGCAAGAGCCACTCCTCCTGATAAAGGAGTTGTAGAACCTTGTGTCCAGTTCTTGTGGAAAGCTGCCCTCAGACTGGCAATCCCATGAGCGACCGAGGGCTTAAAATCCCTCCAGTATAATCGCGCCTTGGTGACTGTGAACTTCATTAGCTCTTGTCACTGTGCTAGCTCAAAACATCCTCCTATAGAAATCATTGGAAGCTGCCAGCAGGTGGCGGTAGATCCTGTCAGCTCTGTCTCTGCTGTGTGACTCAAAGCATCCTCCTATAGATATTCTTAGAAGTAGCATGCCCATAAATAAGAGATATTGCACACTGCACCCTTTTCACTGCGCACGGCCCACCTCCTTGCCTCGGTGACCTAATGGGGGTCAACCCCTCACTGAGCACGGCCCACCTCCTTGCCTCAGTGACCTAATAGGAGTGGACTCCTTGCTGTGCACTGCCTACCTCCTAGCCTACCTAGGTGACCTAATGGGAGTGGACCCCTTGTTTATTGCTCATGACCCTATCACTACCCTTAAAGATGACCTCACTCACTACCCTGCCCCCTAACCTATACCCAATAAATACAGATACTTCTGGACATTTGGGGCCTCGCCTGTCTCCACTTATAAGTGGTGTGGCCACCCTGAGCCCAGCTGCACTTTCTTTGTCCTTCTGTGCCCTGTCTCTTTATTTCTCAGATCCTGTGCCTCAGCACAGTGATAGGGGACACCCCATGGTGGCCCTACAGTTAAATAAATGCTTTGGATATGCATTTTGGTATAAGAAATGTTAATAATTAGTATTACCCATGTGCCATGAGATTTGACTAAACGTATAATTAGTAAACTAGACAACTCACAATACCCACCAGGAAATGCACATGATTTCTCCTATTAAATTTTAGAGGATGTTGTTACCAGGATAGCTATTAAATTGAGATGAAAACCAAGCTGAAAATGAAACTATGGAACTGATCAGCTTACTGTTAAAGGCATATTTAGATACTCAAATAAAATAATTTATATCAGATAAATTTTTCCCATCTGCAAGGAAAGCTAGTTTAGTTTGTGTCTCCCAGGCAAAATGATCAAACTCTAAATAAAGCACCATTTGAAAGTATGTGATAACTGTATATAATTCCATATATGCATAAAATGGCCCCTGTGATTAAAAAAAAGATAAATCATTGCAAGTAAGGTACCTCTTGTGGATAAAATATGAATCAAAAAATCATTGGTCAATAAACTTATTAAACCATTCTCAGAAATATTAGACAGGAATAGAAATCAAGATCCATTTGTAAAAACAAAAAGTAATGGGAAAAATTTAATAAGATGGCTAGCTCATGCAGTGATAAAAGAATTTTTTTTTTAATTAGCTGAACTTGCCACCTTGTGATAAAGTTCCAACTTCAGCATGTTGGCCTCTGGAATCCAAGGATGTTGTTAAAAATATTCAACAGATGGACCAAGCAGACAATACAGAATGTCAAATATCATAACCCAAAAAGGGTGATTCATGAATTTTTAGAGAATGTGTCTTCTATCTAAATGTTCTTGACAATTGCCAGTAATAAAGCAGAAACATCTGAGAAAAATTTGTTTCAAAACACCAAATTCCCTTTAATGAAGTTGATCGGTGCAGTAATGACAGGAAATAAAAAAGTGATTACCTAGTCAAATTTTTACATTTAAATGATAGTAAATGTATTTAACTGGTGGCTTAGTTTACTTATAATAATCTCTAAAAAACAGATTAATCCCAAAGATCATACAAAATTGTCTAATTTGTGGATGCAGACCTTTTAAAAAATGATGGTTGGTGTGAAATAGCTGGAAATTCAGTTCAGAATTATTTTCAGAAGAGCTGACTCTACATTAATGTGCATTAGTTGACAGTGTTGTTGAAAGCATTCTTACAGATGTCATCCAAACCAATGATGTTTCCCAAACTCAGATATCACGTGCAATATAAGCTGTCTTTTAACATAAGATTTCACTATAAAAATTTAAAGCACTCTGATTCACATACTTCTGGATTGAAAAATTTAATATAAATGTGAGATATTCTCTTATTTAAGAGGGTTTTTAATTGTGAAGAAAGTTTCCAGTTTTCTCTGACTCAAGTAGAGGAAGGAACATCAAGTTCAGAATTAGTCCTTGAATTTGACAAAATTTTAGTAAGATATGGTTAATATTGAGAAATTTAAGCCCCAGGCAAAACCATGCAGAAATACTTTTGTGTTAGATATCAGGTATGTGAAACATTGTCTTTATTTGCAACTAAACTAATAGGGTAAATATGCTAAAAGTATCAAAGACTGACTTGAAAAAAATATATATTATTACCTGATAAAACCTATATTGGCTGAAATTTCTAAAAGTTAATATTAGTCTTCTAGCTAATGACTAATGCTAAAGCAAAGAAAGCTTTTAAGATTCCTAAAGTATCAAAATTATTTATTAGGTTGTTGATTCTTTCTATGTTTTACTAAAATGGACTGGAAAACATTTTATGTGAAAGGCTAGAAGGCAGATATTTTAGGTTTCTAGATTCTCTGTCAAATATGCTCCATTATGCTATTGCAGCATAAAACCAACCATATATAACACATAAACAAATAGATGTAGATGTGATTCAATAAAAGTTTATGGACACTGAAATTTGAATTTCATTTAATGTTACATGTCATAACATGGTATTTTTTTATTTTTTCAATAATTTAAAAATATAAAAATTAATCTTAGGTTGATTAAAGACAAGTGACTGGACAGATTTGGCCTGTGCTGATTTCTGTACTATAATAAATTGGAACCCATGAATAAGTTTAATATTATGTGAAGTGTACAGATTATTGCCTTAAAATAATACTAGTAAAGGTTCAAATTCCATTACAAAAAAATTGTTTGTATAGTTCAAATGTTGATTTCCTTATTGAATATATTGTTGAAAAGGCATATGAGCATGCTGCTAAAATATACTTTGAATCAGAAAAAGAGGTAAGGCTGGCCATGGTGGCTCACACCTATAATCCCAGCACTTTGGGAAGCCAAGAAAAGTGGATTACTTGAGGTCAGTAGTTCAAGACCAGGTTGGCCAACATGATGAAACCCCATCTCTACTAAAAGCATTAAAAAAAAAAAAAATGCTGTGCATGTTGGCAGGTGCCTGTAATCCCAGCTACTCAGGAGGCTGAGGCAGGAGAATCGCTTGAACCCAGGAGGCAAAGGTTGCAGGGGGCTGAGATCATGCCACTGCCCTCTAGGCTGGGGACTTCATCTCAAAAAAAGAAAAAGAAAAACAGAAAAAGGAAAAGGAAAGAAGAAAGGAAGGAAGGAAAAAGGAAAGGCTAAAGAAGACTTAGACCAAGATTTAATTTGAAGGTAAATTTCTAGTTCAAAATTCTTTCTTACTTTGACAGTAGCCAATCAAAATGGATGCAGACATGAAATCAAAAGACTTGGTAGTCATTTTTGTAAAAGAAATAATCAAATTAAAATCCCAGTTAATATTGCAGCAAAATGGTAGAGCATGCAGTTCCAAGCTCTTATCATCCAACAGAAATGTTGGCAAATAAGTTTTTTAAAATGTCAGCAGCAAGTTTTTTAGAACTCTGAAAAACAGTCAGAAGTTTGCAGCAATTAGTCAAACATTGAATCCAGAAAAATAGGAAAGGTTTGTGGTATATTTACTTGCCTTTGCCCAAATCCTTTTCTCAACCCAGTAGCAGTCTTGAGCAAAGGAGTCTACATTCCAGTGCAGGACCTTTTTGGAAGAGCAAAGCAGACCTCATTCTAAAACTACTGTGTATGTAGTTTTAGAACATACATTTAAATCCTTGCATTTGATTATTTGGGTGTATATTGAGAAGATAAAATAATAGATCATGTGGTCATTCCATGTTTAATTTTTTTGAGAAACCTCCAAACTTTTCAAGAGTGGCTGTTTACTTTCTCTTTATACTTTTATCTCTTTATTAATGTTTATATTATTTTCTTGGTTTATTTTATTATTTGTCTACTTATTCCTTTAGCTCTTTGAGTATTTTTTAAACAGTTATTTTATAGTCTTTGTACAATTAATCCAAAATATAAACTTCCTTAGGCATGGCTTCTGCTTTATTTGGCAGGATTCTGCTTTATTTGCCACAGGAACAGCTGAAGCAAGACAGTTGTCTCTGTTTTATCTAACTGGGAACTCAGACAGGAAAATTAGTAGACATTGCTCAAAAACACTGCCAACCAAATAACAACCTGCAGATGCTTGAGGCAAAAAATAACCAAAGAACCAGGAAAAAAACCTGGGAAGAAAATCTTCTAAGAAATTAAGATGCCCATAGCTCCTATGTGGGGGAACTTAGAAAGCCATGCACATGTATAGGGGAAGATCTACATTCTGAAAATAACAAAAATAACCTAAGATATTACCTCA